GTTGCCATTTTTGAGGTCAGAAGCACTAGAATATCAGCACTTCACACAGTTCCATCTTAATCCCAGATTATACCCAATTTCAAAATATCTCTCTACAGCCACCCCTTGGTATCTGTGGGGGATTGGTTCCAGGACCCCCGAAGACACCGAAATCCTCAGACGCTCAAGTCCCTTGTATAAAATGGCGCGGACTTGCATACGACGTGCACACAGCCTCCAGTACACTTTAAATCATCTCTCGATGACTTACAATACCTGATACAATGCAAGTGCTGTGTAAATGGTTGCCTGCATTCAGCAAATGCAAGTCTTGTTTTTGGAACTTTCTGGAAATTTTTTTTTTGGAAATATTTTTTAAATGTGTTTAATGTATGTAACAGTACATATATAATATATGCTTTTAAAAAATATTTACTTATTTATTTATTTGGCTGTGCCAGGTATTCGTTGCAACACGTGGGATCTTCGTTGCTTCGTGCGGGATCCTAGTTCCCTGACCAGGGATCGAACCCAGGCCCCCTGCGTTAGGAGCGTGGAGTCCTAACCACTGGACCACCAGCGAAGTCCTGAAACTTTCTGGAATTTTTTAAAAAAATACTTTCAATCCACAATTGGAAAATACAGAACCTGCAGATACACACAGCCGACCATACACAATTAAAACTGAATTTTTTAAAGTTCAGAAACTTCGGGACTTCCCTGGTGGTCCAGTGGTTGAGAATTCGCCTTCCAACGCAGGGGATGCGGGTTCGATCCTTCGTCGGGGAACTAAAATCCCACATGCCACGGGGCAACTAAGCACATGCGCCGTAACCACTGAGCCCGTGCGCCACGACGAAGACCCAACACAGCCAAAAAAAATAAACAAAATTTAAAAAATTTTAAAACAAATAAATAAAAACAAAGTTCAGGGGACTTCCCTGGTGGTGCGGTGGATAGGACTCTGTGCTCCCAACGCAGGGGGCCTAGGTTCAATCCCTGGTCAGATCCCACATGCATGCCGCAACTAAGAGTTCGCATGCCACAACTAAGGAGCCTGTGTGCTGCAACTAAGACCCAGTGCAACCAAATAAATATTTAAAAAGCAAATAAATAAATTAAAAATAAAGTTCAGGGCTTCCCTGGTGGCGCAGTGGTTGAGAGTCCGCCTGCCGATGCAGGGGACATGGGTTCGTGCCCCGGTCCGGGAGGATCCCACATGTCGCGGGGCGGCTGGGCCCGTGAGCCATGGCCGCTGAGCCTGCGCGTCCGGAGCCTGTGCTCCGCAACGGGAGAGGCCCGCGTACCGCAAAAAAATAAATAAATGAAAAATAAATAAAGTTCAGAAACTTCAGTTAAGTGGGTCGGAAATTTTTAGACCCAAGAGAAAACGCTCAGACACCACCCAAACCCTGGCTGATACTGCTGAGTGTCCCCTGATGGAATATGCTGTGGCACCAAACAGAAAACATGGAACCCACCTCAACGCCACTGGGGGCAGGGTACATAAACTGCAGTGCCCCCACGTGGAACCCACACTCGTTAGGGCTGAGCCCTCAGGAGCACTTGGCGTGCGTGGACAGCACTCAGGAACGCTAACAGGCAAGACCAGGACAACAGAACCTCCCTCAATTTCTACGCACAGAAAAAATTCTCAAATTGATTTCTGGGGAGAAGAATGTTACCTTTTGACTTAATAAATGCTAAGCTCATTACAAAAAGTTACGGGTATAATTTAAAAGACTGAAAGAAAAACCTTTCCCCAAAACATGAAAAGTACTCATAAGAATAAAATGTTAAAAAGTCATTTGTTTTTTCCTAGTCATACCCAAGTTCTGGAAGCAAGGACATTCGCAAGTGAATTTCCACCTACCTGCCAACATTACCTGTACCGTATCTCAGGGACTGAAACAAACTCAAGCATCCAAGAAACAGGTGAATTAGCCCACTGTTTCTCAAACTTCTCTGACTCACTGGAAAACACATATTTTCCATGATAACCCAACTCACAGGCATGCATACACTTAGTATCATAAGCTGAAACAAAAGTTTCCAAAAACAAGTTACTCCACCAGTGATCCAGATTTTCTAGTTTCTTCTTTTGGGGGCTCACAGAAGCCTGCATTCTGTCACTTGCTGCACCCTCATAGGCGCTCAGCAAGGTGGAGAGGTGGCTGTCATCCCCACTTCAAAACATCAGGGGGCTCTCCCCAGGTCACCCAAAGAGACCCAAGAACCAGGATGCGGGTCTCCCAAAGTCAAACACTAAACCACGCTGCCTTTCCACATGGTTTTTTTTTTTTTTTGCTGTACGCGGGGCCTCTCCCGTTGGGGAGCACAGGTTCCGGACGCGCAGGCCCAGCAGCCGTGGCTCACGGGCCCAGACGCTCCGCGGCACGTGGGATCCTCCCGGACCGGGGCACGAACCCACATCCCCTGCATCGGCAGGCGGACTCTCAACCACTGCGCCACCAGGGAAGCCCTCCACATGGTTTTTAAAGTCACCGATAAGCCTCACTTCTGTGGTGCCGCACAGAAGTTTTAAGCTAAAATCTATTACTTTGGGGACTTCCCTGGTGGTCCAGTGGTAAAGAATCTGCCTTACAATGCAGGGAACACGGGTTCGATCCCTGGCCGGGGAACTAAGATCTCACATGCCACAGGGCAACTAAGCCCACACGCCTCAATTAGAGCCCCTGTGCCACAAACTACAGAGCCCACACACTCTGGAACCTGCACGCCACTCTGGAACATGCGCACCACAACTACAGAGCCCACGCGCCACAACTAGAGAGAAGTCCACGCACCACAACGAAAATCCCGCACACCACAACTAAGACCCGGCACAGCCAAAAATAAATTAAATAAATAAATAGTAAATCCTTAAAAAGAAATCTGTTACTTTGAGGGGAAACTATACTGCTGCCAGAAGTCTTCCCTGGAATGTGTGGGGCAGGGCGGGGTAGAAGGGAAGAAGTCATCTTGGAGCTAGAAGAGTCACCCCACAGCCACCTGCTGTGCTCCAGAACATCTGGAACCAGTAATGACCCTCCAGATCACAACTCTTCTGATGAGGAAACCTCCACATCCCGACGCCACATCTGTGGGAATCGCCAACAGGCTAAGGGCAGGATTCACGTGGAACCTTGCCTTGAGGACTCCCAGCAACAGCACCTCCACCACCAAAACCGTTTAGTAGGCTCCGAGCCTGTGGGGACAGCGCCATCAATCCCCACCAATTCCAAATGAATAGAGCACGGCCCAGAGTACTACCAGTGATGACCGGCACACGCCATAAAAAGCAGACCCCCCCCCTAACTGCATTGTGCATCTCTCTACTGGAAAGACCCCTCGGCCCCTCCTCAGAATCCCGGAACAGACTGCTCAGTAACATCCAAGGCGGGAAAATCAGGAGGCCAACTAGCACAGAAAAAGACATCTTAGGGTGCAGACACCTTCCAAATTCGCTTAGCCATGCTTAGTATCTAAAATGCAGGCCAGGGCTTCCCTGGTGGCTCAGTGGTTAAAAATCTGCCTGCCAATGCAGGGGACACGGGTTCCATCCCTGGTCTGGGAAGATCCCACATGCCGCGGAGCAACTACTGAGCCCACGTGCCACAACTACTGAAGCCCGCGCGCCTAGAGCCCGTGCTCGGCAACAAGAGAAGCCACCGCAGTGAGAAGCCCGTGCACCTCAACGAAGAGTAGCCCCCGCTCGCCGCAACTAGAGAAAGCCCACGCGCAGCAACGAAGACCCAGCGCAGCCAAAAAGAAATAAAATAAATATTTAAAAAATTGAAATAAAATAAAATAAAATGCAGGCCAACCAGCTACTCTTTCAACTCAAAGAGAAACTGAAAATCAGACCAAGTTCTGATACAAGTTCCCTACTCTTGTAACCAACGCAGCTGGCCAGAGCTTCCAGCGTGATGCAAAACCCAAGTGTAGCCAGAGAAGAGGAGTGACAGAAATGAACCAAAACAACCTAATTACATTTCAGCGAGGTCACACCCATTCTGAGAAAGTGCAACAAAGAGGCAAGGAACTCAGGCTCCCAGCTGAAGGACAGAGCCCAGGGCCCTTGGTGCCTCCCAGCAAATTCCTTAACTTCTCTGCACCTTCCTCCGGGTACTGCTGGGCTTCCCGGGAGCCACTGTGAGGGCCGGCGGGGTGTAATCTGGTAGTGGGACCTGCACAATGTCTAACAGCTGCTCTCCATCGGGCAGCCTCACTCTCCAGCCAGGAAAAGGGGACCTTCTCCAACACCCCATTGTGTAAGTGCAGGCTTGGGCGTCCATCCATGGAAGTCAGCGTTCTGGTGGTCACTAACTGTCCCCGATCCCCCTAAATCTAGGTCACAGGTTGGGGGGTGGCGGGAGGGAAGAAAATGGTGTCCACGATTACATTACTTCTGGAAAACCTTTTCCCTCCGACTTTCAGGTGTCTAGTTTAAGTCGGCTTCCCTATTCCAGGACCCCTGAGCGGCTTCCTCATTTCGGCCTAGGACATCCGCTGCCCCACCCCCCCCACCCCGTAAGAGGCGCGGCCCCACCTTCCGGGGGACACGGGCCCACGAGGCAAGGCCTGGACCTGCGTTTATCCCACCAGGGGTTCCCCCGCGGAGAGGAGAGTCCCCCAACCAGGAGTCCAAGGCCTGGGGCGGGGCCGGGGGCCCTCCCTTTTCAACAGGAGACCGAGAACCACACTCAAGATTGGAGATCCACCACTGGGGGGGCGGGGGGGGCTGTGAAGTCTCTTCCAGGCCACCCTCGGGGAGGAGGAGGCGGGCCCCCAACGCCGGGCAGTAAACTAAGGCTCGGGAGACAGAGCGGGCGTGCGGAGGCCCAGGCCGCGGGCAGCCGGGGCTCAAGCCGGGAGCGGGGCCTCGGGGGCGGGCTGGGGGCAGGAAACAGGGGCAGAGCCGGAGTCGGAGTCAGGGCCGGGGTCGGACTGCGTCGGCGCGAGGGTCCGGGTCCGGATCCGGGTCCGGATCCGGGCCCGGGCCGGCGCGCCGGGCTCACCTCGTCCTCCTTGTGGTTGCGGATGCCGCGCACCAGGTCCTGCAGATTCTTGTCGAACATGCGGTCGATGCTGCCCTTGACCATCTTGAGGGCCATCGCGGCTGCTGCCGCCGGGCCCGAACCCCAGGAGGCCCGCGGCCAGGCGCCCTGAGGGGGCCCGGGGGGCCGCGTCTGCCGCCCGCGGAGCGCTTCGCTGCCAGCCGCCGCGGCGGGGCGGGCTCCCACTGCCGCCCGCGGAGCGCTTCGCTGCCAGCCGCCGCGGCGGGGCGGTCTCCCAGGCCAGGTCGGCGGCGGTCGGCGGGGCGGCGGCGGCAGCGGACCCGCTCAGCAGGCCGCGCTACCCTCCCCTCCGGCTCCGCGCCGCTTGCAAATGGCGGACAAAATGGCGGCCGGTCAGCTGACAGCGGTAACCCGGACCGGGCGGCCCGCCCCCAGAGGCCCCGCCTCCCTATGAACCCCTCCCCTTCACCCCGAGAAGCCGCGTTTCCCTGACGACGCCAGACAGCCCAATGGAAACGCAGACAACGACCTCCAGGCCGCTCGGCCACGCCCCCTCCAGCTCTGGGCTCTTCCCTCTCATAGGTCAGTGACCTCCGGAACTCCACCTACTTCCTCGTTCCGGTTGTAACCACGCCCCTAAGCGCTCCCTCCCTGTCCCGCCCCTCAGTTAAGTGGCAGGTGTGGGCGGGCCCATCTGTGGGCGGGGCCTGATATGGGCGGGGCGCTCACGTGGAGCTTCCCTGGGTGGTTCCTGGAGAAGAACCCAGCTCCGCCCTTTCTGATTCTAAAAGCTGACGGTGTCAGAGAACTTCCAAAACCGACTCTGCGTCGAACCTATCCTCAGTCTCCTGCACATCTCACAAAATCCTGTGATATGGGCAGGACAGGGATTAACAATGGCCACGTGGAAAAACTGAGGCCCAGAATTAGGATTTCAACGCAGTCTTTCATTCAACGAACTTTATTGACAGCCTACCATGTGCCAGGCCTGACCAGTGAATGAGATACTCCTGGTTCCTGCCCACCGGGATCCACCATAAAGAGAGTAAAAAAGCAAGCCACAAACTGGGGTAAGATATTAGCAGTACATATATCTGACAAAGGACTTATATCCACAATACAGTTAAACAGAAAATAAAGAAGAACCAAACAAAACTTCCTACAAATCGCAAAGAAAAAGACAAACCAGTTAAAACATGGCAAAAGATTGTGAATATGCATTTCACAAGAGAAGATATCCAAATGGCCAATAGGCTGCTGTATCTCAGTTATGAGGGAAAAGTAAATTTAAACCACACTGGGCTTCCCTGGTGGCACAGTCATTGGGAGTCCACCTGCCGATGCAGGGGACACAGGTTTGTGCCCCGGTCCGGGAAGATCCCACATGCCGCAGAGGGGCTGGGCCTGTGAGCCATGGCCGCTGGGCCTGCACATCCGGAGCCTGTGCTCCGCAACGGTAGATTAAACCACTCTGAGATACTTCTGTACCCCCATAAAAATGGCTAAAATTAGAAAGATTGCCAATTTCAAGTGTGGCAAGGATATGGAGCAACTGCAACTCCCCTGTGTTACATTTCAGGTAGGAATGTAAAACTACACAGCTACACTGGAAGCCTTTGCAGTGGAAGCACAGAGTCTTAACCACTAGACTACCAGGGAAATCCCCTGAATGTATCTTTTAAAGCTAATATATGTATGCCCTTTGAGCCAGCAACTCTACTACTATACCCAACAAGAATGCATAAATACATCTACCAAAGACTTGGATAAGAATGTTCACAGCAGCCGTATTTATATTAGCCCAAAACTCAAAACGATGCAAATGTCCATTGACATAAAATGGATATATAACTCCTGTGGTATATCCAACAACAGAATACTATGCAGCAACAAAAAAGAACAAATCACTGGGACTTCCCTGGTGGCGCAGTGGTTAAGAATCTGCCTGCCAATGCAGGGAACGCTGGTTCGAGCCCTGGTCTGGGAAGATCCCACATGCTGCAGAGCAACTAAGCCCGTGCGCCACAACTACTGATCCTGTGCTCTAGCGCCTACAGGCCACAACTACTGAGCCTGCACACTTAGAGCCCGTGCTCCACAACAAGAGAAGCCACCGCAGTGAGAAGCCCGCACACCACAGCAAAGAGTAGCCCCCACTCGCCGCAACTAGAAAAAGCCTGCTTCACCAGTGAAACAATAAAAGTTGCTATTAACAAAAAAAAAAAAAAAAGAAGAAAAAGAAAAAGCCCGTGTGCAGCAACAAAGACCCAATGCAGGCAAAAATAAATAAATAAATAAATAAAAATTTATAAGAAAAAAAGAACAAATTACTAATACACAGAACAAAATAGATGAATTACACAGACACAATGGTGAACACAAAAGAGTGTACACAGTGTGGTTCTATTGCCATGATGTCCAATTGCAGGCAAAATTAACCTGTGGTGATAGAATTAAGTAACATCATAAGTCACACAACTATACAAGAAAGAACTGGAAACTGGATAAATAAATTCAATAAAAAATTAGTAGACATGTGAAGAAGCAAGAAAATGTAAGCTATGAACAAGAGCACGAAAGGGATGAATAGAAATGGACCCCAGGGACTTCCCTGGTGGTCCAGTGGTTAAGACTCTGTTCTTCCACTGCAGGGGGTTCGGGTTTGATACCTATTCGGGGAACTAAGATCCCACATACCGCTCAGCATGACCAAAAAAAAAAAAAAAAAAGAAATGGACCCTGAAATAACAGAGAGACGAGAATAAGCAAAGACTATACTGTAGCTACTACAAATACACTCAAAGATTGAAAAGAAAACATGTACACAATGAAGAGAGAAAAAGGAAGATTTAAAAAATAAACCAAGGAACTTGTAGACTGAAAAAGCACAACATATGAAAAATATTCATTACATGGAATTAATAATAGATTAGACCTTGAGGAAGAAAAGATTAGTGAAATTAAAGACTTAAAAGCTATCTAAAATGAAGCACACAGAGAGCGAAAATGCTTACAAGATGAACAGAACCTCAGTGACCTGTAGAACAATATCAAGTAATCTAATATACATAACTGGAGTCCTAGAAAGAAGGAGAGAGAAAGAGGACAAACAAAAAAACAAAGAATGAGGCTTCCCTGGTGGCGCAGTGGTTAAGAATCCACCTGCCAATGCAGGGGACACGGATTCAAGCCCTGGTCCAGGCAGATCCCACATGCCGTGGAGCAACTAAGCCTGTGCATCACAACTACTGAGCCTGTGCTCTAGAGCCCGTGAGCCACAACTACTGAGCCCACGTGCCACAACTACTGAAGCCCGCGCGCCTACAGCCCATGTTCCAAAATGAGAAGCCACTGCAATGAGCAGCCCGTGCACGGTAACAAAGAGTAGCCCCCGCTCACCGCAACTAGAGAAAGCCCACTCACAGCAACGAAGCCCCAACGCAGCCAAAAATAAATAAATTAATTAATTAATTTTTTAAAAAATCAAAGAATCAATGGCCACAAAGTTTCCAAATATATTAACTATAAAACAACAATCTAAGAAGCTCAATGAACTCTAGGGGAGATAAACACAGAGAAAAGCACAACCAAGCACATTATAAATTAAAGTGTTGGAAATCAGAGATAAAGTGGGAATTCCCTGGTGGTCTGGTGGTTAGGACTCTGAGCTTCCACTGCAGGGGGCCTGGGTTCAATCCCTGGTCGGGGAACTAAGACCCCACAAGCCGCACACAGCATGCGGGATCTTAGTTCCCCGACCAGGGATTGAACCCAGGCCCCCTTCAGTGGAAGCGCCGAGTCTTAACCACTGGACCACCAGGGAAGTCCCAGGCAATACCTATTTGCAGATAAATAAAAGCTGAGTGAATGTGTGGCCAGTAGACATACAATAAAAGAAATGTTTTCATTCCTAGGTTTTGGCACCAGAAAAGAAAGAAAGAAAAAGAAAATAAAAAAGAAAGAAATGTTAAAGGAAGTTCTTTGGACAGAAGGAAATGTTACCAGAGATTTGGATCTATGCAATGGAATGAAGAACACAAGAAATTTTAAAAATGTGGTTAATGCAATTTTTTTGCTTTTTATTTTGGCTATGCCAGGTCTTAGTTGCAGCATGCAGGCTCTTCGCTGCAGCATGCGGGATCTATTTCCCCAACCAGGGATCAAACCCAGGCCCCCTGCGTTGGGAGTGCAGAGCCTTATCCACTGGACCATCAGGGAAGTCCCAATATAATTATTTTTCTTTTTTTTTTTTAATAGTCTCTTCCTTACTGCATTCAGGGTTTTTTAAAAATTAATTTATTATTTATTTATTTATTTTTGGCTGCGTTGGGTCTTCATTGCTTTGCGCGGGCTTTCTCTAGTTGCGGTGAGCGGGGGCTACTCTTTGTTACCGTGCACGGGCTTCTCATTGCAGTGGCTTCTCATTTTGGAACATGGGCTGTAGGCGCGCGGGCTTCAGTAGTTGTGGCTCATGGGCTCTAGAGCTCAGGCTCAGTAGTTGTGGCACGCGGGCTCAGTAGTTGTGGTGCATGGGCTCAGTAGTTGTGGCTTGTGGGCTCTATTTGTGGGCACAGGCTCAGTAGTTGTGGTGCATGGGCTTAGTTGCCCCACGGCATGTGCGATCTTCCCAGACCAGGGATCGAACCCATGTCCCCTACATTGGCAGGCGGATTCTTAACCACTGTGCCACCAGAGAAGCCCTATAATTATTTCTTAATGACTTCAGATGATAATTCCCTTTTAAAGAAAAACTAACAGCAATGTGCTATGAGATTTATTTTACAACATATTTGAAGTAAAACAATGGTATATACAGAATGGGAGATGGAAATGGAAATGGAAGCTTCACATGATGTGTGAAGCAGTATGTTTTAACCCTAGTCATATTCAGAGACAGAAAGTAGATGGTGGGGGCCAGGGGCTGGGGGAGGGGTGGAGAGTCAGTGTTTCATGGGGACAGAGTTTCACTTTGGGAAGATGAGAAACTTTTGGAGATGGATGGTGGGGATGGTTGGCCAACAATGTGAAGGTACTTAATGCCACTGAACTGTGCACTTAAAAATGGTTAAGATGGTGAATTTTATATTTATGTGTATTTTACCACAATTAAAAATTAATGCACAGGCTTCCCTGGTGGCGCAGTGGTTGGGAGTCCGCCTGCCGATGCAGGGGACGCGGGTTCGTGCCCCGGTCCAGGAGGATCCCACATGCCGCGGAGCGGCTGGGCCCGTGAGCCATGGCCGCTGAGCCTGCGCGTCCGGAGCCTGTGCTCCGCAACGGGAGAGGCCACAACAGTGAGGGGCCCGCGTACCGCAGAAAAAAAAGAAAATGTTACAGGAAGACAGGATCTGAGCCTGCACTTGACCAAATCTCCTCATCTCCTCCTCCTAATCCCAGCCCTGTCAGATGCAAGTGAAGGGATACACACAATGTGGTCCCTCCACACGCGGGAGCATCACTCAGCCATGAAAAGGGGTGAAGCCCCAACACTTGGTACAACGTGCATGTACCCTGAGAACATGATGCTCAGTGAGACAAGCCAGATGCAGGACACACAGTGTGTGATTCCACTGATAGGAAACGTCCAGAACAGGCAGATCCACAGACACAGAGAGTGGATACCTGGTTGCCAGGGGCTGGGGATAGGGGGTGACTCTGACAGGGACAGGCTTCTTTTGGGGTGATGGAATGTTCTGGAACTGGATAGAGATGATTGTGGCACAACTGTGGGAATGTACTAAATAACACTGGATTGTACACTTTACAGAGTGAATTGCACATGAACTGTATCTCAATAAGGCTGTTATTTAAGAAAATGACAACGTAATTTCCAGTACAGCTCGGCTGGGCTAAGTGGTGTGTGTTTGATGATTGACTAAACAAAGGTGTGGATGGGTGACTAGGTGGGATGATACAAAAGCAGCCCACAGTTGAACGTAAATTGGTGCAGACACTATGGAAAACGGTATGGAGGTTCCTCAAAAAACTAAAAATAGAGTTACCGTATGTTCCAGCAGTCCCGCTCCTGGGCATATATCCAGACAAAACTCTAATCCAAAGAGATACGTGAACCCCTATATTCCTAGCATCACTATTCACAATAGCCAAGACACATGGAAACAACCTAAATGTCCATCGACAGAGGAATGGATAAAGAACATGTGGTACATATATACAATAGAATACTACTCAGCCATAAAAAAAGAATGAAATAATGCCATTTGCAGCAACATAGATACAACTAGAGATTATCATACTAAGTGAAGTAAGTCAGAGAAAGACAAATATATGGTATCACTTAAACATGGAATCTAAAATATGACACAAATGAACTTATCTACGAAACAAAAACAGATTCACAGACATAGAGAACAGACTTGTGGTTGCCAAAGGGAAAATGGGGGTGGGAGAGGAATGGATTGGGAGTTTGGGATTAGCAGATGCAAACTACTATATATAGGATGGATAAACAACAAGGTCCTACTATAAAGCACAGGGAACTATATTCAATATTCTGTGATAAACCACAATGGAAAAGAACATGAAAACAGAATATATATACGTATAACTGAGTCACTTTGCTGCACAGCAGAAACTAACACAACATTGTAAATCAGCTATACTTCGATTAAAAGAAAAAAAAAATAGCCCACAGTTGAGCCTCACTTCCCCCCTGGGAGAAAACGACCCCACTTTCCAGATGAGGAAACCAAGGCCTCTGAGCTGTGCCTGACCCGGGTCAGCCAGCAGAGCCTGGGTTCTTTTCGATGGTGTCATCCTCCTACCTGAAGCCCTCCCTGATGGAGCCCGGCTCCACAGGGACGTGGATGTTTAGCTGCTTCTGAGCCCGGCACGCAACAGGTGCTCATAAAGGCGAGGTGACCACGCTTTGTGGGTGCTCCCACCCCCAGGGACCCTCTTTTCTGAGGCTGAGAGAGGAAGCAATGCTCCCAGAGTCACCGCGGCCAGCCTGGTGGTGGCTTTGTGCTCGTGGGGGTGGGGCCAGTGCCTGGCCCTGCTCCGAGATGGGGATGTGCCTCAGCAGGGACCTCAGGCCAGCCCTCCTTCCACCCCTACGGCGGCTGAGGAGCCGATTGGCCCACCTCGCGGCCTCCAGCCACCTGCTGCTGTCTGTCTTGGGGCCACCCTCCCCATGCTCCATCCTGTCCACCAGGCCCAGCGTGGCAACAGCGGGGTAAGAGGGGCAGAGGGAGGCCTGGGCAGAGATGGGGGTCCCTGGGATCTGGGAGGGCATCCCTGAGGTCCACGGGGGTCCCCGACTCCTGTGGCTGCCCACACACACCCTTAGGGGCACCCCCTGGCCCACTGGGCCCCTTCCCCACGGCCTGCTCTGGCCCCAGGGATGGGTCACACTAACGCTGGCGCCAGAGACCCTGGGGACCCCAAAGAGCAGGGCTGTGGAAGCCAACAGACGGGGTTGGCTCCAGCTCTGCACAACCTCTGGCCCACGGCTCCACCTCCAGCCTCAGTTTCTTCATCTGCCCTATGGGAGCAGAGACGGCCAGAGGAGGCGGCGACCCCAGCGTTGGGGTCTGGAGGCCCGGGACCCCTGCCCCTGCCTGCCAAGGCCAGAACCAGGCTGGTCCCAGCTGCTGGGGCTTGAGCTCCTACACCCAGGGTGTCTGTGGGGAGGCTGGGTGCCAGGAATAGGGGGTGAGGATGGTCCAAAGGGAGACCCCAGGGGGCAAGGGCCTGGGAGGGGCTGGGCCCCACATTGGCCTGTCCTGCTGGCCTCAGGCACTGGATAAAAATAGTCGCTGGTCTCTGAGAACATGAGCCGACCCTGGAGCCAAGGGTTCCGGTTTGGGCTCTTTGCTCACCTCTGTGAGACCATGGCCAGAACCCAGCCCACTCTGGGCCCCAGCAGCCCAGCAGCGTGTCAGGAGGGGTCCTGAGGCAGGCCTGAGGGGGGCAGGTAGAGTGCCTGGTGGAGGGCTGTGGCCGTGCCCTGCGTGTGAAGCTACCAAGGAAAGGTGGCTCCAGGCAGAGGGACAAGCAAGGCGGTGTGGGGAGGTAGGGAGCCCCCTTCTCCCCAGGTCAGGCCCAGGCCCAGGCCCATACCAGGGGCCCAGCAAATGCAGGCTGCGTCTTCCCCCTTCCCCCCAAGCCGGACTCTGGACCTGCTGCTTCTCAGACATCTCCATGACAACCAGGGCCTTGGAGGAGTTGGATGGAGGCCTGGGCAGTTGCCAAGTGGACGAGGACCTCTCTGCACTGGCTGACCCCTGCCCAGGCCGGCCCCAGGAGGACAGGGCTCAAGGTAGCCAAGAGGGTACCACAGGATGAAGCCCACGCCCCCATCATCCTGTTGAGCCAGGTGGCTCACCTTCAGGGACCAGGACTTGGCCTCCCACACTGGACTGACTTAAACCATGCCCCCCATTTCCAACCTGTGTCCATTAGTGTGTCGGGGGTTTGTAAAGAGCCCAGAGAACACAGGTGCTGGGCCACACAGGTCAGGGTTTGAATCCCAGCTTGGCAGTGACGTGCTGTGTGCCTTTATGCAAGGCTGCCTCTGCGTCTGTCTGCTTTCTAATCTGCAAAACGGGAGCAGTCACCTGCCCCTCACCCAGCAGAACTGAGCGGAGGGTGGGATCAGCCTGGAGGTTTCCACGACTGTGACTGTCCCTCTTTTCCCGCCAACAGTGACATCCAGGCTGGCCGACTTCAGCAGCTGGCCCCATGTGAGTAGCTGGGGCCCTGGGGTTTCAGCCCAGGGTGCCCCTAGAGTAGGGGACATGTTGGCCAAGAGGGTGCGTTTCTGCAGCCCCTGGGAAGGGTTTGGTCTCCCTTAGGGAAACACCCAGGATGACATGTTACTCCCCACAGGATTCTCAGGAGCCGGCAGCTGAGGGCAGCCCCGCAGGCGGTGTGGATGCTTGGCCCAAGAAAACAGAAAAGGAGCCTATGGCCAAAGTGGCCTCCGGACCTGGTAAGGAGAGGCTGAAAGCAGGAGCAAGTGGGTTTCCGGGAGGCAGGGGTGAGGTGGGGGTGTTGGTGTGGACCAGCATGGGGGTGGGGGATCGGTCCTGGGCTGGGTCCTTGGATCTGGGGGGCAGGGTGATAGTGTGCATGGGGCTCCTGACTGGGGGGGTGTCTGGGTGTCACAGGCCGTAACTCAGTGGGCTGTGGGAGCCTCTGCTAATTTATGATAACACCAGCTTAGGTACCACTAAGCTTCAGCTAATTACCTTCTAGAATATTCTCGGCATCCCAGTGAGGCGGCCAATCCCGCAGGGCTTAGTTCCTCAGCCCAGGGCCGCACAGCCGGGCAGGGCAGAGCTGAGTTTAGCCGCGGGTCGGCCCCACGCGGCCTGCGCCCAGCCCGCACTTGCTCCCGCAGGCCCCCGGAGCCCCGCGCGGAAGAGGGCGCAGGCCGCGCCGCCCTCGCAGCCGCCGCCCACGCCCCCGGTTCTGAGTGAGGAGCTGCTCTGGGGACACCTGACGCTCAACAAGTGCCTGGTGCTCGCCTCGCTCGTGGCGCTGCTGGGCTCCGCCTTCCAGCTGTGCCGAGGTGAGCCTGCGCCGCAGCACGTGGTTACTCCCTCCCCGAAACGCGGACAGCCCAGGGGGCGGGCCTGTGTGCTCCCACTCTAGGCCGTGCGCGCCCCCTTCCCCCCAGTATGGACCTTGTGAGTGAGGGGGGGGTCCCCCGCCCCGTGCACCTCCTGCTCAGGGACAGACTGACCTTGTGCACCCAGACGGTCGCGCCCGAGTCCCTCTATCTAGGACCAGCTTTGACCCCCGCCTCCCATAGCCCTTAAGAGGAGCCCTGCCCCCCCCACCCCCCAGCAAGGACCTCGGTGCACCTCCCTTCCCCGGTGACCGACCCTCACCGCCCCCCGACTCCCACCCCGGGCCTTGCAGGCCCAGGATGGGCGTGCGTGCCCCCGTTTGGTAGCGTGCCGCTTTCTCTGTGCGCCAGGGCGGGCGCTCTTGCGTCCCTCAGAGAAACGGGAGCATCCTTTTGCAGCCTGAATGAGGGAGGTTTGAAGGAAAGGTCATTGCAGCAGCGGAGACTCAGAACCCTTTCCCAGGGCTCGGAGGGACCCAGCCCAGCCTCAGCGTACCCGGTGGGGTCCGGCTGGGCCCCCTTGCATGTCCCCAGGGAGAGGGGGCTCGGGGCAAGGGCGGGGATGGACGGTGTGCAGTGGTCGGTCCCCTGGGCCAGGCTGTTTCGCATCCCCTCCCGTCCCCTCCCAGAGGCCGTGGCGGGGGAGGCAGAAGCCCCTGCGCCTGTCCCTGAGCTGTGGGTCCCGCCAAGCTCGTCCCTGAAGGAGCCAGCGTCACCCCTGGTAAGCACTTCCTCGAGTGACCTGTCAGTGGGGCCTTCACTGGGGGAAGGGGCCTGGGCCGTGGAACTCTGCGCCGACCCCATCACCTCGCACTGTCCACATTGCAGCCAAAGTCCGTGGCCTGGGCCCCCCCACTGGGACCGCTCGAGCCCCCGGCGAAGGTAGAGGAAAGGGCCGCAGTTCCCAGGAGCAGCGGGGCTGCAGGGAAGGACAAAGGGGAGTCTGAGGAGGCCGCGAAGGAGGAGCGCGTGCCGCTTGCCGACCGAGGGCCCAAGGAGAGGCGGAAGAAGGCGGAGAGGCTGAGAAAGGAGAGGCCCCGGAAGAAGAGGCCACAGGAGAGGCCGAGGAGGGAGAGACCCCGGAAAGAGGAGAGGCCGCGGGCTGCCGGGGAGGCCCTACCCCGACGCTGGGAGGCGCGCGACGGGGGCCATCGGGCATGGGCGGGAGAGTCCGGAGACCCCGAGCATAGGAAGAGGCAGGCCTGGGCCTCCCCGCGGCGCCCCGATGAGGAGGACCGGCCTCCCGGCCGCCAGAAGCACCACGCGGGCAAGGGGCGGGACTGAGCCAGACCTGGGTCCAGCGCGGGGGTCCCTGAACCTCTGCTCGACCGCCCCGCAGTTCCAGCAAATAAAGCGAGCGCTGTGGTCCCCCTCATCGCCTGCTCCTTTGTGCCTGGACTCCAGAACCTGCCCGGGGCCTGAATGACAAGGATGGGGAGCTTCAGGCGGCTTGGGGGGG